GTCTCCCCAACCACTTACCTGCAGGTTCCCTGAGGCAAACGAGTGCGTTGTGCTAGGAATCACTTGACCAACAGGCATGTTGGCTGGACCACTGGAGCCTGGGGGCGAAGAGAAAAAAAAACAAACGATCAGAGAAAAATGACATACAGAGCTACACTCCCTCCTCCTCCTCCTCCACCCTGTCCTCTTCTTTCCCCTCCTTGCCCACTTGCATTAGCTCTCTTGTACCTTTCATTAACATTTTTCTGTAAAATCCACGGAGAAAAGTGTCTATAAATGGACATTGTTGCGGGTTATAACCAAGTGAACACCGGAACAATCAGCAGGTGGACTCTGAGGTGGATATTGAAGCGGGGAGCAGAGCACGTACGGCAATGTTCGGAGTGCAAGGATGTTGTTCCCAGGATCAAGTAATCAAGTAATCAAGTAATCAAACGGTGTTGAGGCAGAAATCAAAAATTCAATAAAAATTGCTAAACCGGCAGAAAACTGCAGGGTATCTTTGATTTCATTATTTTGACGAGAGCCTGATTTCACTACGATGACTCACAAATGCAATTATTATAATTATTGAAAAAAAACAAAAAAACTCTACTAAACCCACTGACCATCAGCATAACCTGTTTACACCATAATGCCTCACATAATTATTTATGCACATATTTTAGTAGTAGTAGTAGTACAGGGTTTTACGGCGCTCGCAACTGCGTAAGGTCATATGCACTTATTTATTATAATAATAATAGATAGCATTTGTGTAGTACAAATCCCCGCTCAACAGCAAGCTCATGCGCTTCACAATCTGTACTATTACCTCAGCAGATGTTAGTCTTAGTAGAGGTTTTACGGCCCTCGCAACTGCATAAGGTCATATGAGTGCCAGAAGATTAGAGGTGTTACAAGAGAGTAACAAACACAAAAAAGAAGGAGGAGGAAAGGATAAGGACGATAGATGTTTGATAGGAAAGAAGGAGCAAACCACACCAGAGCACCCGCCAACCACACACACAGCAAGCTCATGCATTTCACAATCTATACTATTACCCCAGCAGATCAGTTTAGTTTTAGTAGAGGTTTTTACGGCACTCGCAACTGCATAAGGTCATATGAGCGCCAGAAGATTAGAGGTGTTACAAGAGAGTAACAAACATAAAAAAGAAGAAGGGGAGATAAGGACGATAGATGTTTGATAGGAAAGAAGAAGCAAACCACACCAGAGCACCCGCCAACTGCCCACTCACCAGAAATAGATTATCCCTTTTTTTGTCAGAGTAAAGCACATCGACACTAACAGTTGAGGGGAAAAGCCGGAGAGACATTTGTGTCTGCGCCAAGAGAAAGCTCGTTTTCTCCAAATTATATCTTTATAAATACCCTACATCACAAAGTGGGCGATATCTCAAACAGTTGGTGGGAAATTTTGAATTTTGCCCGGGTGGCGGCCGAAGCCTTATCAATCTTATCGATTTTAAACCACCAAGTGATCTTTAACGTGCACAACTTGCACACGCGCCCTTCGAGATTTTTCGCCTTTGTCCGAGAAGGCTAGGGGTAGATCTTTCCTTCCAGAAGATCAGGGGTGTGGCTGAAAGACAGCAGTAAGAAGAAGCGAAGGAGTAGCAGTAGAAAACAAGACATTAGAAAAACCATAGACTGCGCACACACAACCCTTACCTGGGCCCCCCATAAAGGACCTGCCGGCAGAGGAGGAGGAGGAGGAGTCGCCTCCCCTGTTAGCCTGATAGCTCATGCCCGGGCCGGACGTCCCGCCAGCCTCCGAGGGCATCATCTGGGACATCCCTCGAGGCGTGGGCTGTTGGGGCGGGGGTGGCGGGGGCATGGCCAGCCCGCCGACGGGGTGGAGGTTGCCAGACGTCATGACGCCACCGCCACCACCGGCACTGCCAGATCGCAGCATGGGCCCTGATGAAACAATACTTCTTTTAAGTTCACCGCAGACTGAAGGGTTTAAAGACGAAACAGTCGTTCTTAAGTTCTTCTCGGAATAAAAGCCTTAAAGACGTCATAGTTATTCTTAAGCTCATCACAGAATGAATGGGTTAAGACGAGACGGTCATTCTAAAGTTCTTCTCAGAATGAAAGCCTAAAAGACGTTATAGTTATTCTTAAGTTCATCAAAGAATGAAGGGTTCAAAGACGAAACGGTCATTCTTAAGTTTTTCTCGGAATGAAAGCCTTAAAGACATAATTATTCTCAAGTTCACCACAGAATGAATGGGATAAGACGAAACGGTCGTTTATTTAAGTTCTCAGAATGAAAGCCTTTAAGACGTTATAGTTATTCTTAAGCTCATCACAGAATGAAGGGTTTAAAGACGAGACGGTCATTTTCTAAGCTCTTCTCCGAATGAAAGCCTTAAAGACATAGTTATTCTTAAGCTCATCACAGAATGAATGGGTTAAGACGAAACGGTCGTTCATTCTAAAGTTCTTCACAGAATGAAAGCCTTAAAGACATCATAATTATTCTTAAGTTCACCACAGAATGAAGGATTTAAAGACGAGATGTTCGTTATTAAGTTTTTCTCAGAATGAAAGCCTTAAAGACGTTATGGTTATTCTTTACTTCACCACAGAACGAAGGGCTTAAACACGAGGTGGTCAATCTTAAATCCACCTCAGAATTTCCGCAAGTAAATCAGTTTATATTCAGTGTCTAAGGCCATTGGCCCACATAACATCACATAAAACACTCTTTGCTAAATGAAGTTTCCATAATGAAAAAATACCGGTAGTGCACATAACTGTTGTCATGGGTCAAACATTGCATTTTCTGTCACTGGGCAGAGTCAGGCTGGTGGGTATTTTTATCTCAGAATGAAGGGCTTTAACTCTATGTCTGGCTAGCGCTCCCAGCGGCTCGTGGTCGGAACCACTGTGCTGGTGAGTCGCTGACAGCGGCTTCGGCACATTCCTTTACGACGACTTGAACATCAAATTACTTATAGGTCTCTTATACCGGAAGTTAATTCATTAGACGAAAAACTACCAAAATAGGTGTACTAGTTTCAACTTTATGACCTATTTAATGACGTTTTTGTCATTTTTAGATTTAGCACCAAAAAAGCGCCCCGGCGTAGTGGGTTTACCCCCCTCGGAGACAAAGAGTGTAAGACGAAATATGCAGTTATATTCAAGTACTGCCTCATTCAATTTCTTTTCCTTTTAAGAAATTCTCATCAGTCTCCAAAGAAACCACCCCACATATACAAAAAAAACTTGTTCTCACCTGAACTACCGACACTTCCTGCTGGGTTGACGCCCCCCGACGGAGCCAGCATGTTCTTCGACTGCGGCTGTGGCTGCGGCTGCTTGAAGAGCCCGGCACTCTGGTCCGGCATCATGGCCGTGCCCTGGAAGTATCCCTGCGGGTTCCTGGCCATCTGCTGTTGCTGTTGTTGCTGTTGTTGCTGCTGCATCTGCTGCTTCTGCTGCGCGGTGAGCATGCGGTGCTGCTGGCTGTAGTGGGCGTGCGGCGGGAACTGCTGCTGAGGGGGCCCGGCTGGTGGTTGCATGTCTGGGGGCAGCATCTGATAGCCCTGTTGTTGCTGCTGCTGCTGCTGTTGATGCTGTTGTTGCTGTTGTTGTTGCTGTTGGACAAACTGGCTTGCAGACCGAATGGCCGACAGGAAATCAGCGCTGGGCGTCGTGGCGGGGAAGTTCAGGGTCGTCTGATCCACGCCCGTCGGCGTTGTAGACAGTCCCATATCCACATTTCTGACCGGCAGCTCCAGAGACGCGAACGAGGAGGCCAGATTGGGCGAGGGTTGTGGCGAGCGGGAGGAATTGGAACATGTGTCCAGCGAGGGCGACCCCCCGCCACCCCCTGGGATGGACAACATGGGTGACGTGCTCTGATGCAACGCCCCGCCGCTGCCACCACCACCAATATTGTTATCACGACCCAGACCAAAACCTCCCCAGTTCAGACCAGCGGAGAGCCCGCCAACACCGATACCACTGACGCCGCCACTGCTAGAATTCTGCGACAAATTCTCCGAAGGAATCAGAGAGGCTTGAGTTCTCTGGTTGACCAGGGCTGGGTAGTTGTCGGCGCTCAGGCTAGGGTACGGCTCCTGGCTCTTGAACGTCGGGATTGTCGCTGTCGCCGCCCCGGCGGGCGCGGTGTCTGGACGTCCATCTGTGTCCACTTTGTTCACTTGACCGCCGCCACCGCCACCGCCCCGACCCGAGGAGCCAGTAGAGTGACCACCGCCACCACCACGGGTCAGACCTTCAAGATAAGATAAGATAAGAAGTAATGACATTAGATAAGAAAGGATACAAGATATGACAAAATAAGATAAGATAAACCTTCACTGTTTAAAGACCGACACATTGGTTTAGTGTTTCCCCACACACAAACACATCCATCCATACATACTCTCTCAAATATCTTCTCTTCCACACACAAACACATATAATTCTAATATAAAAATATATATACATATACATATACCATACATACATATAAGCTTATGCACAGACCCACAATTACAAGCATATGATATAGAAATGAATAATTATTGCCATTAACAATAATGTTAAACCCTTTTTGAGTCATACAGGCCTAAACTGGCTTTCCCATCTTGTTGCCATAGCGGCTTTCTCGCTGTAGAGCCATACCAGCTTTTACCGGCCTGACACATACACCTTTTGTGCAGACTTAGAAGTATGATCATAACATTCCACTCTCAATTTAGATGCTCACATCCTAGGTATTTGCATGTAAAATTTCTTTGAAATACGTCGCTTGAGTCGAAAGCAAAAGCAATTTCTTTGCTACACCCTCTGAACTTCTGAAAAACACTGAAATAATTCGGTTCTGAGAAGCCATCAGCTAGCCACCGGTTTGGTTCTGCTGTGCTGACCTGCTGACATATTCCTGGTGCTAAGAGGATTAAGAAAGGTACATAATCAAGGACCGTCTTTTCGTGCACGTATTCTTTGTCTGATTACAGGCGTACAAGTTATCATCATTGCCTTTCTCACCCTCACCAGGGTACAGGCCACGGACAAACACCTTCCACCTTTCTCTATCCTGGGCTAGCCTCTTGATGTTATTCCATGTCTTCCCACTTCTTCCCACAAGGCGTACAAGTATTTGAAAGAATTTATTGTACAATTGCGGCCAGTAGGCATGAAACGTTGATTTTACATCTTATTCCATTGTGAAGCGCCAAGAGCCACTAGGAAGTGGGCCAAATAGAAGTAATATTTCTTATAATTAATTATGTGCAATATAAATGCAGTTATAATAATATTATTAATATTGTTATTATTATTATCATCATAATAATCATCACTATTGTTACCATCATTATTATTATATATAATATAGTTATCATCATCATTATTATTACTATTATCTTTATTGTTAATATTGTTATCATCATCATTATTATTATTATTACAATACCTTTCTTCTGGAGCCGGGGACTAAGGGAGGACGTCTGAGCGTTGCCAGCTTTGGCAGACAGTCTGTGGGAAGCCCAAAGACAACATTTAGAAGAAAGAAAAAAAAAATGACACTTCGCTACCTCAGAATAAGAAAACTATCTGCTCAGTGCCTGGTTTTGAGAAATTTGACGATAAAAATTTTGAGTTTCACAACATGACAAGCTTTTTCAACGCAATTCTTTTTAGTTTAGTTTTAGTAGAGGTTTTACAGCGCTCGCAACTGCATAAGGTCATATGAGCGCCAGAAGATTAGAGGTGTTACAAGAGAGTAACAAACATAAAAAAGAACAAGGGGAGATAAGGACGATAGATGTTTGATAGGAAAGAAGGAGCAAACCACACCAGAGCACCCGCCAACCACCCACACACAATTCTTTGAATATCTAGATAACTACTCCAAATAATCTTACGATTTCGGTAGAGCAGAAAGAGCATTTGGTTTCTGACCTCATCGTCTTAGAAACCCAAAACGGCTAAAAATGTCAGATAGAACTTTGTAAATTCTAAGGCTGCGACTCGGCTACCTGACAAGTTTTTTGCTTCATTTACAACATTATGTGTCGCAAAGCGGTGGAATCAGGTGCTCGTAAATTTTTCGGCGCGTGGAGTTATAGGTATCATCTGAAATCTGCCTTGCTTCTAAAGAAATAGCCATTTTTCTTGCATAGAACTCAAGACATCTGCGATTGAAGGAAGTGAGGTCACCCGATTTCAGTGATTTAGCGAGAAAATGGCCGCAAAAGTTTGGTAACTCCAATAGCTAAAGAGTGTTTGAAAACTGAAAAATGACATATTTTGTACCTTTAAGCAATTTTTTCCCCAGTAAAATTCCCATGAAAATGTGCTTTTATATGGGCAAAAAAGAAGTGAAGCCAAAAAATAAGAATTCAATAAAAATATTCCCAACTGGCAGAAAAATGTCTGTTTCTCCGATTTCATTATTTTCACCACGCTGCCTCACATATCACATATGTGAGCCGTGCTGACAAAATGAGTTACTTCTCGCAATCCACAAATGGAAATATTGGCCAAAAAATCAACAATAGGGTCAAATTTGTAGAATTTCCATTGATGCCTTATTCTTTAAGTGTAATATGCCTGTTATTATTTCATACTTATGGATTTTTAAAAACTTATAAGTGTGATGTATCTATTTAGCATAGGGCTCGAATCCAAGAAGTAACTCATTTTGTCAGCACGTTTCACATATGACATTTTTCAGTAAAATTCACGCAGTGTTTTTAAATGAATATAAAAGGTGTTTATTTGCGGGTCGAAAATTGCCACTTTCGTTGATTTCTTTATTTTGACAAGAGCCTAATTTTTGCCACAGTGCTTCAAATATCTCAGGGTGGAATCTAAAGACCCAGTCTCTACAGCTTCAATGATTTATCCACAAAGCAAAACAACTTTTTTTAAAAAAATAAGAAAAGCATTTTTTTAAAAAGAAAGTACCCACACAGCAAAATGTTAGAGAAACAAGCCTTCTCGGCCTTCCCTTTTGGCTGAGATCAAAGTGCAGTTTCTGCTCCCGACTTTTTGGCCCTGTGATTTGTCCAAAGCTGGACTGATACTTCCAGAAGCTGAGGCCTTGGCTTCTATTATATCTAGTGGGCGGACTCCTCCTCTTTAACCCTTTAAGCCCTACCCACAGGTACACCGGTGATGAGTAAAAGTGCCTGTATGTCTAGATACCGGTACACCGGTGATGAGTAAAACTGATTGTATACCTAGCCACAGGTACACCGGTCAGTGAGACCCTATCTCCAACCCGACCCACCTGGTACAAAACCGTGAAAAAAAACACGGAAAACAGTGATTTTACTCAACGGGATGTCATTGATTATTTTGTAGATGTTTCTGAACTAGACCCTGGTAATGACGAGGACTATCTTGAGTGGGACATGGAAAGTGATTCTAACAATCTTATAAAAGTGAGTAATATATCACTCAGAAGCTCAGGCACAGGGGCACAGTTGCCTCAGGAGGTCTGGGCTCAAAGCAGGGCTGCCAACCCATCTCCATGGTTTTTAGTAATGACCATGAAGAAAATTAGTAATTTCCCATAAAAATTAGTTTTAGTGCTCTCATTTTCAAATTACCATATTACAACGAACAAAAATATGTCTTAATGACGGAAAAAGACGGCTTATCGAAAAGTAAAAAAATGTGAAGGCCTAAGTTTTGCTTTACAGGTCTGCACTAAGACTTGTAAAATTTTTTTAAAAGCCAAAAATCTGCTGGCGGTAAAAATCATAATAAATCGCCTTTCGATCGGAATTTCGTAGTGAGGCTAAAGAATCATAATGATTACGAAAAAATTGGAACGGTTGGCAGCCCTGTCAAAGAGATTTTTTTTTTTAAACGAACAAAAAAAACCCCAAACTCGTACACACCTGGGCGGCAGATTTGGCTTCTGGTTGATGGAGGACTTGTGATGTAAGTTGATCACGCCTGCCTGCCTTCCCCCTCCTCCTCCACTTGAGCCTCCCTTCTGACCTTGACCTTGCTGAGAAGCCAGAATCTGTTCTGAGGAAGTCTTTGCTGGAAGTGAATCACCCTGAGCCGATTTTCCTTCCTCCGATATCACCTGTTTGTAGAATATTAGTTGCATCATAACACGGTTGTTTTGTTTTTGTTTTAGCAGAGGTTTTACGGCGCTCGCAACTGCATAAGGTCATATGGGTGCCAGAAGATTAGAGGTGTTACAAGAGAGTAACAAACAAAAAAAGAAGAAGGGGAGATAAGGACGATAGATGTCTGATAAGAAAGAAGAAGCAAACCACACCAGAGCACTCGCCAACCACCCACAAAACTCAGTTGAACCTGCTCTATCGGCCACCTGTCTAATACAACAACGGTTAACAAAATTGGTAAATGAAAGAGATACAAATTTCGTTTAAATTTAAGCGACCAAGAACAAAGGTCTGTGGAAAGTCAAACGTCCGACGGATAGACGCTCTACGAAAGGAGCAGGTCACAATAGAGGGAAATACACAAGAAGACGTCGAGTCCTTCTGCTATCTCAGGAGAGTATAATTGACAGAGAGGGATGAACAGGTGCTGAAATAAAGTCCCACATTGGAAAGGCAGGAAATAATTGGAAATTTAATTTACATTAGAACACCAAAAAAAACCCTCAATCAACACCGACTAAAATGGGGATGAACAGAACAGAAACGCTGAAAAAAACCCAACTCTTTAGAATCTTTTACACAAAAAAAAAAAAACAAATGCTGAGAGCAGTAACTGTTCTTCTTTTCTTTTCAACTAGAAGAAAATTATATGACAGTCAGAACTGCCTTGATATTCCTGGATCAATAACAACAAGTTGATATTCCTGGATCAATAACAACAAGTTGATATTCTTGGATCAATAACAACAAGTTGATATTCATTATTTCGGAAGAGAGACACCCCTCTCTCCCCCCCTCCCAACCTCGATGTCTCTCATGTTTTTATATTCCCGTGAAAACAATGGAAGCAAGTGGAAAAAAAAAAAACCCTGGAGAAATAGCTTCCTGAAATCCTTACAATAAAAAAAGAATCCTACTCACCGAGAGGGGGCTGGTTGATCCTTTTTCTGGCTCTGTCCGCTTCTTCATGATTGTCTGTTCCGTTAAAGAAAAAACAAACAAAAAAACATTATTTGGAAAGGGAAAAAAATGATATAAAAACTGAGAAATCATTTTCATCTCTCATACATAAAGAAGCAAAGAAAACCAGGAGAAATAATCTAAACATTCAACAACAACAAATTTCCTCCGTACATGTTGGTGGGATAAAGATTACAAATCCTCACCATCATTCAACTCAGTAGCAGGCCAAAATTTTAGTTTTAGTAAGTGTCTTACGGCACTTGCAATTCAATAAGGTCATATGAGTGCCGAAGATTAGAGGTGTTACAAGAGAGTAACAAATACAAAATAGAAGGGAGAAAAAGATGATAGAGGTTTGATAGGAAAGAAGGAGCAAACCACACCAGAGCACCCACCAACCACCCACTATGTCAAAATGTTTTTTTAAATGAACCTCAAATTTGTTGCAGAGTTTGATGGGGCACATCAGTCGGTCTTTAGCTTTAGTAAGGTTTTACCGTGATCACAACTGCATAAGGTCATATGAGCGCTAAGGGGTGGATATCAACAGAGAAGTCCAAATGGGGAATCAGGCTTACTCTGCTCACCTCTCTAGTCTCACCAGCACAAAGTCTGCTTCGACTATCAAGGCACCCCGGAAATAGCAGTTCACACGAGAGTGACAAACATACAAAAGAAGTAGAGGTAAAAAGACGATAGTAAGGATGAGGAAAGAAAAAGCAGCAGTTCCCCCGCCCATGTCGTTCCGGCACAGTATGAGCATGACATTGATAAATCAACCCATTTACAATTTCTACTGCGCATGAGAACATGTTAAAATCCCCCTTTTGGGAATGACCTAAACACAACTTTAGTCAGTAGCACTGACCTGGGGGGGGGGGGGGAATCAATTGCTCTTAGTCTCATTCCACTTCTTAGAATTATAGTAACAACATGAAGACAAAATTACATTTCGAATTACAATACTGCAATTTGCCGAAACAGACAGCTTTTCCGTTCTCTTGAAAACATTGTACTTTGAGGGACAACAACGATGAATGACTGGAACGAAATACTCTTTCTTATAGATAATTTCATCATCAAATGTAACTTTAACTCGGTGTATACAACAAGGTACCACGCTCACCTCCTTTCCTCAAGGACAACGGTGAATCCGACAGAAATAAAGAATTATAAAAGTCACGACTCAAACGCACAACAATTTCCACAGGTGATCTTACTAATCATTCTTTAACATTCCAACTTGTTGCTAGCAAGCCAAATCTATTCACAAACACAGGAGCAGACATTCAAATGAACACTTGAGTTTTACTCACTAAAGGCATAAATTCCTGGTTTAGAAATCCATTCTGTAATTTAAAAAACTGGCATGTTAAACAAATCCTACCCAACACCCCCCCCCCTCCCCCAGCCGTCCCTGAAAACAAAAACCTGAATAAAAATAGAAATCTCCCACCCCCCACCCCCCCACCCCCCCACCCTTTCATCTGTTATTGTAAGAGGGCCAAATCCTGGCATTCAAATTTCTGACAAATGTTTATGACAGCTTGCATACTGCTGTCTTTTTTTCTTTTTTTTTTTGTTCCAATATAAATCCTTCATGTGGCCAAATACAGCTCACCCTTCCTTTAGCCCTTACACTCCTTTCTAATTTCCCTCCCTGTTGTCATTTCAAAATAGTACACATTGGTCCAGAACAAGACAAGTTGATTCCTCCCTGCCTGACTCGGCCCTGTGACAGTCTGAGAAATATGCAAAATATATATATATATATATATGCACAACCTGTACTTTTTCATTATGGAGACTATAACCTCGGAAAAAAAGTAACTGTCAATAGATTTCTGGCCTATATTTGAAAAGGTTATAATCGCGCTACATTAATAATCATATAATTAGACGTTTTGTTCTTACATATTACCACCTCGTCTTTGAATAAGCTCAAATATTTTACCAGGATTATTAAAAGAAACGCGATTAAAACCTTTTCAAAATTAGGCCTGAAAGCTATTCAGTTACTTTTTTCGAGGGCATATTTCACAAATTAGGGTTTTATGAGAGGAAAAAAATTTGAATCTTTAAAAAAAAATTTTTTTTGTAGAAGAGGTTTTATGGCGCTCGCAACTGCATAAGGTCATATGAGCGCCAGAAGATTAGAGGTGTTACAAGAGAGTAACAAACACAAAAAAAGAAGGGGAGATAAGGACGATAGATGTTTGATAGGAAAGAAGAAACAAACCACACCAGAGCACCCGCCAACCACCCACAGAATCTTTCAAAACCCTTGGACACACTCCTTGGGTGACAAAAAAATATATGGGCTTTATTGTTTACTACATCTTGCATCAAGTCTATTGTCGTGAATTTCAGCAAGAAGTTGGATAATTTCAGAAATTCCAATTTTCCGATTTATCTGAAAAATCTGAAACTCTGAATTTTTGGAAACAACAAAACAATACATCCATCAGTGGGTGGTTGGCGGATGCTCTCACATAGTTTGCTCCTTTTCTTCTCTCCAAACAAACATCTATCGTCCTTATCTCTCCTCCTCCTTTCTTTTTGTATTTTACTCTCTTGTAACACCTCTAAACTCTGGCACTTTTACGACATAATTGTGTCGCAAGTGCCGTAAAACTTGCACAAAAACTAAAAGATGTCCATATTATTCTATCACAGACCTGCATTGCTACAGTCGGCCGCTGAGAAGCCTTAGGGGGCGTCGCCTGCTGACCTTCGATGTTCTGTGGCACTGCAGATGAACAAAAACAAAACAAGTAAAATATTTTGTAAAAGTAGATCAAAATAAAAAGTAGATTAGATCTCATTTTGATTTCAGTCAGAATGTTATGACACTATAAACACAGATAGGTCATAAGTGCCGAAGATTAGAAGTGTTACTAGAGAGTAACATACCAAGAGGAGAAGGGGGGAGAAATAAGGATGATAGATGTTTGATAGGAAAGAAGGAGAAAACTGCACCACAAATTAATGTAGAAAATAAGCGAAACCCGTTTGACAGAAACAACAGAGGGAAAGGAAAGACACGGACTCACAGACACCCTTTGCTTCACAAAAATGTGAGCACAAAGGTAAGTTTAAAGATTGTTTTTTAAAAGATTACTCCAAATATTCATCTTATTAATTTTAAAACAGTATGTCAAACACATGTAAAACATACTGTTTTAAAATTAATAAAATGAATATTTGGAATAATTTTCTTTTAGTCAGAACACAACGTTTTATGTTACTGTTGTACGTTGTACTGTATTGTAATCGGGGTTGAGCGTTATATAAATGCCATTTATTATTATTATATAAGCACACCTTTCTGGGTGGAGAACTGCGTACGGACAGACTTGGTTGGTTGGTAGAGGACGAGCTTGAGCTTCGGCAGATCCTGGGCGATCCATCGGCCGTGGGCCACCAGGCGCTGACAACGCAGGTCTCTCTCACAGGCTGCGCTCAGCTCCTCATTCAGGGCTTTGTTGAAGTTGTACGAGCTACACGGGAACGCAGGAACGCAGGAGTGCAGGAACGCAGGTACATGGGAATGCAGGCGGGAGGGAGGGGAAAAAAATTTACATTCACTAAATTTTGTGTGTGTGTGGGTGGAATTTGGTTTACAATGATAATGGCATACATAAACATCAACTGCTTAGTGATAGACAGATTCCGTCGTATGGCATTTTAAAAAGTGAGGTATAACAGGGTCTTACACTGTGCAATTGATGTACATACAGGCCAAATTTCTCCAATGCAAAGACTGTCCATGACAAAATCACCTGTACAAACAGCCACTTTCCACTCCCGTGCCCTTGAACGTCTTTTTTAATGCCATAACGAAACTGCTGACAAAATGAGTTAGTTACTTTTCGCAATGCTATTTTTTCTTTTCTTATCCTTACTATCATCAGACTTTGTGCTGTAGAAGCTAGAGAGGTGAGAAGAGGAATTCTGATTCCCTGTAAAGGCTTCTCTGTTGACATACACCTCTTGGCACTCATATGACTTTATGCAGTTGCGAGCGCCGTAAAACCTCTACTTAACTAAACTAACTTCTCACAATCCATGAAAGAAAATCTCAGCAGCAAACAGACCCATTAAAGAAATCAATTTTGAACTGATGCCATTGTCTTCCACTTTAAAACACGCCCCTTTTAAAAATGTCTTTTTTTTGGTAAGCGTTTTACGGCGCTCGCAACTGAATAAGGTCATATGAGCAGGCGCGAAATCATGTCTTTTATCATTTCATATTATAATGAACAGCACAACCCAAACATATAATTCTGATACTTCTATCAGGCCATTGGGCTAAACAATCGGAGAGTTAACTCATTTTGCCAGCATGCCTCCCATTTTTCTCCTCCACAGGCTCTTGTTTGCGGGGTCGGGGGTTCGAGCCTCAGGCCCGACGTTGTGTCCTTGAGGAAAGGCACTTCACACGAATTTTCCTCACTTCCACTAAGGTAAGAATGGGTGCCCAAACATTGACAGCAAAAGATCTTGTCCGTATATTTAGTGTTTTAGCGCCTATAAAATGGCAGCTTGCATTGTATGCTTCCCAGGAAGTTGAGATTGTTTCAACAATATAGATTTAAAAGCGCATAGAGTTTGCTGTTGAGCAGGACTTTGCGCTATACAAATGCTATTTATCATTTATTACAGAGACGGCAGTTGAGAAAAGACTGAGAGAGCCCCACCTCCCTCCTCCCAGTCTAGTTCAGCCCCAAAAATCCCCCCCCCCCCCCACAACAGACATTTCCAAGCGAAGATCGGCCTGATCAGTCATCTCTGCACGCACCCCACCCATCCAGCGATATGAAGTCAAAGTCATCTTTGCCAGCAAATTTATTAATTGTGAGGCGAGCTGACAAAACGAGTTACTTCTCGTATTAGCCTAAAACCGACACTAGGTTCAAATTAGTAGATTTTCTAATGATGCCATATTCTGTACATATAACATGCCTTTTATCATTTCATACTTATAAATTGTAAAAACTTCACCTTCAAGCAAGAAGAATCTATTTTCACAAGACTTGAATCCGAGAAGTTACGCATTCTGCCAGCATGCTTCACAATATAAGCGAGGCATCGTGGTGAAATCAGGCTCTCGCTAATATAATGAAATCGAAGAAATCGGCATTTTTGGGCCAGTTAGGCAATTTTTTTCGAATTTTTTGTTTTGGCTCAACACCTTGTATGTCCATTCAAAGACATTCTTATGAGTGGATTTTATGCAAAAACGTTGACTAAAGTCACGAAAAATGTAAATTTGCAGTTTCCAAGGACTCTTGAGCTATGGAAGTCACCAAACTTTGGCGGCCATTTTATAGCTAATTCTACTTCTGGAACCAGGTGACCCCACTTCCTTCAATCGCAAATATCTCAACTTCTATTCAAGACAAACGGGGGTTTGTTTTTTTTATAACATGTGAGGCAAATAAGAAGCCTCTAAGATATTAACAAAGACTCCATATACCTAAAAATTGACGAGTGCCTGATTCCACGGCGTCATGACACATATTATAACAAACAGACAAGGAAACACACACTCCTACCTGTAGGAGGGCTCTAGTGGCTGGAAGCATCTCAGGTCCGCGTCTTCCGGCAAGGGCGTGTCCTCGTCTGACAAGACAAGTTGTGGGGGCAGAAACAGAAGCAGACGTTAGTTCAGTTTGGTGAAAGTATCTGTTTTGTTTTGCTGAGTGTTTTAATAGGCCGAAGGGCTAGAACCCAAATGGCCGCTGGATCGGAAAAGTAAGTATACGAGTTTTACAGTGCTCACAACTGCATAAGGTCATGCGAGCGAGTGAGCGAGGCATAGTTGGTTACCTTCACATTACTTCGAAGCACGGCTGGGTTTTACTTTGCGAATACAAAAGGTTGAAGTATCTAAAATGTATATTTGGTAAAATTTAGTTTACTTTTACTTTACTACTTTTCCAATCCAGCGGCCATCGTGAAAAATTTCGTTTACAAACTTGCATTCTATGTATCTACCTCAGCCAAATCTTTTTCAGACTAACTGAAGAATAAACCACACTCAGCTATCCTCTCTGAACACATTTTTATAGTTTTAGCAGAGGTTTTACGGCCCTCGCAACTGCATAAGGTCATATGAGCGCCAAGGGGTGGATGTCAACAGAGAAGTCCTTGCAGTGAATCAGACTTACTCTGCTCACCTCTCTATCTTCAACAGCACAAAGTCTGCTTCGACTATCAAGGCACCCCGGAAATAGCGGGTCACAAGAGTGTGACAAACATACAAAAGAAGTAGAGGAAAAGGACGATAGTAAGGATTAGGAAAGAAAAAGCAGCAGTTCCCTGTTGTAGTTCAGGCACAGTTATGAGTGTGACATTGTTGGATCAGCCCATTTACAAATCTACTGTGCACTAGAATAGAACGAGAAATATCCTCCCTTTGGGAAAGGCCTAAAGACACTTCCGTCAGTGGCACCGCCCGGGGGGCGGGTCGGGTTGAACACATTTGTCACAATAACTACCACAGTCACACAATTTATTCATAACCCACAAATTGCAAAATTGAGCACCAAATCAGGACAGGGACCAAAGACGCAAAACATAAAACCAAACAGCACTCACACTTGGGAAGATCCGAGGCTTTGTTGGTGTCATTCAGCAGCCACTGGATGATGTTGAGTAGCTTGCAAAAGTCTTGCCAGATACTGTGGGGGGGAGAGAGCATAAGATAAGATGAGACGAGATGAGGCGAGATGAGACAAGATGAGATGAGGCGAGACGAGACAAGATGAGATGAGATGAGACAAGATGAGACGAGACAAGATGAGATGAGATGAGATGAGACAAGATGAGACAAGATGAGATGAGATGAGACAAGATGAGATGAGATGAGACAAGATGAGATGAGACAAGATGAAATGAGATGAGACAAGATGAGATGAGACGAGACAAGATGAGACGAGACAAGATGAGACAAGATGAGATGAGACAAGATGAGACACGACAAGATGAGATGAGACAAGACCAGACACGATGAGACGAGACAATTTATTGTCCCTGTGGAAAATGTTTCCAGTCTCTACAGGAATTGTTGAAAAAAGATAAGAAGAATAGATATAAGATACCTGAAATTGGGGAACGAAGGGAAGCAAAACAAATAAACTACCTTAATTTATTGAATAAAAGTAAGAAAAACAAATAAACTACCTTAAATTATTGAACAGATAGTAAGAACAACAAATAAACTACCTTAAATTATTGAACAGATAGTAAGAAAAACAAATAAACTACCTTAAATTATTGAACAAAAAGTAAAAAGGACAAATAAACTGCCTTAAATTTATTGAACAAAAAAGTAAGAAAGACAAAATAAACTACCTGCAACTATTGAACGAAGGGAAGAAGAAGCAAAGATGCCCAAATTACCTGGAGTTGTTGAACAAAGGGAACAAGAAAAGATACCCAAATTACCTGGAGTTGTTGAACAAGGGAACAAGAAAAGATACCCAAATTACCTGGAGTTGTTGAACAAAGGGAACAAGAAAAGATACCCAAATTACCTGGAGTTGTTGAACAAAGGGAAGAAGAAGAAGAAAAGATACCCAAATTACCTGGAGTTGTTGAACGAAGGGAGGAAGAAGAAGAAAAGACAGCCAAATTACCTGGAATTGTTGAACTCTCGTCCCTGCAGGACGTCCCGATTCACCGAGAGCCAGTCGAACATGACCTTGATGGCGGGCAAGGTGAGATAATCCCTGGCTTTGTTGTCTTCCTTGGGCGTGTGTTGGAGCAGGGTCTCCAGGAGCTTGGCTGGGGAAGGAAGTCACAGATTTTTGTTTTTTTTTAATTTTAGTAAAAGCTTGCTTTGTTTTAGAAGATGTTTTACGGCGCTCGCAACTGCATGAGGTCATATAAGCGCCAGAAGATTAGAGGTGTTACAAGAGAGTAACAAAAATAAAAAAGAAGGAGGGTAGTTAAGGACCATAGATGTTTGATAGGAAAGAAGGAGCAAACCACACCAGAGCACCCGCCAACCGCCCACAGTAAAAGTTTCGCGGCAGTTGAAAGAGAAATAGGTCATAATTATAAGTGCTGAAGATGAGAGGTGTACGAGACAACAATATACAAGTAAAAGGAATAACGATAAGATAGACGTTTGATAGGAAAGTAGGAGCAAACCACACAATACACCTGCCAAACACCTACCCCCAATCCATCGAAAACGAACCTACACGTACACTCACCCCAAGTCCAAAAAAAAGTTTACCCCCCCCCCCATCCCAACTTCCAAACCACCATCTATGCACTATAACAAACCTACACCGATCTCCAATCCCAAAAAAGTTTGCTCCCCCCCCCCCCCATCTAAAAGAAGCCCATCCCCAATCCAAAAAAAGTTACTCTCCCAACAACTCCCCACACCCAAGCACCGTAATCTAAAGGCGAACCTGCAAAGCTGAGGTGTATCTGCACACATCGCTCTTCCTCTGAGGACAGGCCGGGCTTGCGGGCGGGCTCCCCGGTGTCGCTGGCGTCGTCGCAGCGCGCGCGGTGCAGCGCAAACACCGAGATGGCCACCATGCCCGTCAGGTGGGCCGCCGACACCGACTGGGAGCGGATGTGGCTCCCGAGGGCCGAGGTGATCCGCGTCTTCAGGTACGACGCTCGGTCCAGCCCTGAGGGAGATATATATATGTGAGGCACCGTGGTGAAATCAGGCGCTTGTCAATTTTTGGGCATGTAGAGTTATTGGTATAATCTTAATGCTTGTTCACTTGTGACAAGTTGTCTTTATTTGGATGAAAAAAATATCAATTTATCTTGAATGCAAGTCAAGACTTTTGCGAATGAAGGAGGTGTGGGTCACCTGCTTTCAGAGGTTAAATAAGTGATAAAATGGCCGCCAAAGATTAGTTATTTCCTTAGCTTAGGAGTCCGTGGTAACTGAAAATTTACATTTTTTGTGCCTTTAATCAACGTTTTTAAGAAAAATCCACACGGAAATGAGTTCTTTAAGGGGGATGAAAGGTGCTGAGCCAAAAAAACAAAAACTTGATAAAAATTCACAAACCTGCGGAAAAATGCAAGTTTCTTCACTTTGATTATTTTGACGAGAGCCTGATTCTACCACGCTGCCTCACATATATGTGGTGAAATCAGGCGCTCGTCAAAATAATGAAATCAAAGAAATAGACATTTTTCTGATCATTGGCCAATTTTTTTTTCGTATTTTCTTTTTTGGGCTCAAAATTTTTTAGTATCCATTAAAAAAAACACATTCCTATGTGAATGTTACTGAAAAACATTGATTAAAAGGCTGACAAAATGTCAGTGTTCAGTTTCCAAGGACACCCAAATTACCAAACTTTGGGGACCATTTTCTCGCTAATTCCACCTCTGAAATGAGGCGACCCCGATCTTCTTCAATCGCAAATATTTTGACTTCTATTCATTATAGATGAATATCATTTTCACCAAAAGCAAACCAAATGAGCAGGCTTTAAGATGATACCAATAACCCCATGTGCCCAAACATTGACGAGCGCCTTATTCCACCACGTCGCGACACATATATGTGTTTTAGTTGCAGTAAGGTTTTTACAGCGCTCGCAACGGCATAAAGTCATATGAGCGCCAAGGGGTGGATGTCAACAGAGAAGTCCTTACAGGGAATCAGGCTTTCTCTGCTCACCTCTATAGTCCGAACAGAAGAAAGTCTGCTCCGACTATCAAGGCACCCCGGAAATAGCCAGTTCACAAGAGAGTGACAAACATACCCAAAAAAAAAGAAGTAGAGGGAAAATGACGATAGAAAAGATGAGGAAAGAAAAAGCAGCAGTTGCCCCTATGTTGTTTCGGCACAGTATGAGCATGACAGCTCATTTGCAAGCCACCTCATTTACAATTCTACTGTTCAAAGGAACATGTTAATATCCCTCCTTTGGGAATGGCGTAAAGACATTTCAGTCTGTGGCATTGCCCTGGGTGGCGGGGGGGTGGGGGGGGGAGGGGGGCAGACATATGTTTGGATTTGGGTAAATTAATCATGTTTCGTCTAGTGCGAGTTTTACAGTGCTCACAACTACATAAGTCCTGTCTCAGTGTCAACATAATATTTTAAATTTTGCTCCCGGTGTGAATAACGCGGCGATTTCCTCATGCCTACAAACAAAGCTATACACACTTGGAGTGCGTGCACAGTTGTTGGTGTCCACAAAACTGCAGTAACTTTCCGAATTGCGTAATGCTGTGGGTGTGTGTGGGAGGGCACCTGGCGGGTCGACCTACGAGTTGGAATACAGAAGCTTGCTCTGCCATACATCATGGAGCAGCGCTCTTTAGTTAGTTTTGCCAACTAGTTTTTGAATGGGGGTGGATGAGTGTTTCTTTTAGATGGGGGGCTAGAAAGCGGGGGAGGGTTGGGAGCAAACTTTTTTTGGATTGGGGCTGGTGGTAAGTTTGTTTTAGGTGAGGGGTTAGGAAGTGGGGAGGTGGGGGGGAGCAAACTTTTTTTTTTGGGGGGTGGGCGTAGGTTCGTTAGATGGCGGTTAGGAAGTGGGGTGGGGGGATGGGGGAAGCAAACATCAAAGGTCATATGAGCACATACAACATGAGTCGGTTGCATTCACAGTATGGCTTGATATCATTTAAGAGTCAGGTTAAACGACTCTCCGTCCAACCCTGAGACACACGTGTTTAGTAAAGTAAAAGTTTTATGGCACTCACAACTGCATCACAAGGTCATATGAGCGTGCAAAACACAAGTTGGTTACATTCACAACAGTTCACAGCCGGCTTAATTTCCTTTAGCAAAGGCCAGGTAAGAAAGCTAAAAAGTTTAGAGGTAAAAATTTCAGTCTTAAAACAACAACAGTTTACATTTAATAAAAATTACAATATCTTCTTTTTTTAAAATAGTTTTAGTAGAAGTTTTTACGGCGCTCGCAACTGCATAAGGTCATATGAGCGCCAGAAGAATAGAGGTGTTACAAGAGAGTAATAAACATAAAAAAGAAGAAGGGGAGATAAGGACGATAGATGTTTCATAGGAAAGAAGAGGCAAACCACGCCAACCACCCACTTACAATATCTTCATTTTACCGAAAAGGCCAATAGCCTTATATAAGACCGAGAATTCTGTTGGGATCAACAACGGAGAACAGATCTTTCAAATTTTGCATGTAGACATTGTTTATTCATCAAAAGGTCTCTCCTTCCCTTCTTCTCCGTCCTACGCCACGAGACAAGAACAAATCCTCACCTGTAGACATGTGCAGCAGGGCGTGGAACTGCAGGAAAGCCACAATAATGTCAGTCATAGTCAGGTTAGGTCCATCGAAGTCTGATCTCCTGAAAAAACATTTTTAAAAGGTGAAAAGTAAAAAAATGAGGCAAACTGATCGTGTAATTGACATATTAGTGAGTTTTAAATAATTTAGTCTTTCCAAGCCATTCACTGACCCATTGCAATTATGGAATAAACTTTCTTACTTAAACACTTTTTAGATGCTTAAACCCATTTTACTTTGGGCATCACCTTGTTGTAGTTTCCTCTTTTGTCTTCAATGTGAGGCCAACTCAAGTAGTCACACACACACACACGCACACAAACACACATGAAGATACATTACACAAAAGTATGAATATACACATACAAGCACATACACACACACACACACACACACACACACACACACACACACACACACACATGGGCATAGACATGGAACACAGTGCCAAGTCCTTAAGAATCTTTCATGAGCTTTCGGTCAAACACACATGCTCAAAAAAGCATGGACAAACACACATACACACGCACACACAACGCACAGCGATCCCTCATTACGTGTCTTTGATGAGCTTTAAGTCACGCACGCACGCACACACACTCACACACACACACAACGCACAGCAATCCCCCCTTACGTGTCTTTAATGAGCTTTAAGTCACGCTAGTACAAATACACACACTCACACACACACACACTCACACACACATAAATCGCACAGCGATCCCTCCTTACGTGTCTTTGATGAGCTGAAGTCACGCACGCACGCACACACACAAACACACAACGCACAACAATCCCCCTTTAAGTGTCTTTGATGAGCTTCGAGTCGCGAATGCATGCACACACACACACACATGCACAGCGATCCCCCCCTTACGTGTCTTTGATGAGCTTCGAGTCACACACACACACACACAGCGATCCCCCCCTTACGTGTCTTTGATGAGCTTCGAGTCACACACACACACACACACACACACACACACACACACACACAGCCACCACCCCCCCCCCCCTCCTTACGTGTCTTTGATGAGCTTGGAGTAGAACTTCTCCAGGTTGGTGGCAGCCACAGGGAACGGGTGCCTCACGGCCAGACTGCGCACGTAGTAGAACACCGTGGACAGCTTGTCACCTTTGGAAGCTTCCAAAATAGCCAGCTGGTTGTAAGGCTGACCTAGAAACAGAGAGAGATGACGATTGTCTGAACTGTCCTGAAATATTTTGTCTCAAAACACATTGTAACTTTTGATTTTTGGTTGCTTCAATTCAGTTTTTTGGGGGTATTTTTCAACAGCCTAATCATCTCTAATGACTATGAATTGAATCATCAGCATTTCCATCACTTTTCCCTTTTTGGATAAAACACAAACGTATTTTGTCCATCCGAACCCCACCAATAATCTGTACTGGATAGAAATAACTACGCTTTTCACTTTTCAGATCATACACAAGTATTTTTGGGGGGATAATACGCAAACCCTTCAAACCGACACATATACCAGAGCAAAATTTTACTGTCACCGTACCATTGTTGGGAGACAGGTTGGCAGCATGCCTGTAGTACGTCTGGGCCTGCCACATCTCGCCACGATAGCGAGCTGAGAAAACAAAAAACAAACATATTTTTTAAACACTTTTTTTTTTGGTACAAGTTTTACTGCACTTGCAACACAATAAGGTCATGATATAAGTGCTGAAGGTTAGAGGTGTTACAAGAGAGTAACATACACAAAATAGAAGGAGGGGAGATAAGGACGATAGAGGTTTGATAGGAAAGAAGGAGCAAACTACACCAGAGCACCCGCCAACCACCCACTTTCAACACTTTGCGGTCACTTGGCGCAATAATGTAACAGTGAAAATTATCCGTTCCACGACACGTCCGTTGCAGTGACTCTCCTGGCTGGGAGACCACATGAGGCATTTTGTACTGCCGGCTGTGTGACTGCAAAGTGTTAACCCTATCCGTACGTCGTGTTCTACTGTCGTATCCATACAACGTGGGGAACTCTGTGCCACAACTTAACCCTATCCGTACGTCATGTTTTACTATCGTATCCATACAACGTGGGGAACTCTGTGCCACAACTTAACCCTATCCGTAGGTCGTGTTTTACTATCGTATCCATACAACATGAGAAACTCTGCGCCACCATTTTCCAAAGAGGAATTTACTCGTTAATCCGATATGTACGCTTTGCTTAGCAGTCTGTCAAAATGACTTTTTGAGAAATACTGAAAGTTTCAAAGAAATCTTCATACAAGAAGCATTCTAAAATGTAAAGAATACAACCCCGGGGGTACAAAATGACCTCAGGGCGTACGGATAGGGTTAAACAGTCAAAATTCTGTAAGGCGGCCACCCATCGTGGAGGAGAAAGAGGCTGTTTTAGACAGGCGGACGTCGTGGACAATGTCATTATCATACAGAAAAAAAAAGCTAGAGGGAAAGTGGGAAATGGATGTCTGCACAGGGGATTGTCTTGGACAGGTGGTCTAAACAGCAAGTTCAACAGTTTATTGTTCCCATTTCTTTTTCTATCACTTGATTTTGATAGGTGAAAAGGCACATCTATCTTAGTTTAGTTTAGTAGAAGGTTTTACGACGCTCACAACTGCATAAGGTCATTTGAGCGCCAAGGGGTGGATGTCAACAGAGAAGTCCTTACAGGGAATCAGACTTACTCTGCTCACCTCTCTAGCTTCAACAGCACAAAGTCTGCTTCAACTATCAAGGCTCCCCGGAAATAGTGGGTCACAAGAATGTGACAAACATACAAAAGAAGTAGAGGAAAAAATGACAATAGTAAAGATTAGGAAAGAAAAAGCAGCAGTTCCCTGTTGTAGATCAGGCACAGTTATGAGTGCGACATGATGAATCAGCCCATTTACAATTCTACCGAGCATGAACGAGAAATGTCCCCCCTTTGGGAATGGCCTAAAGACACTTCAGTCAGTGGAACCGCCCCGGGGAGTTACACACATCTATCTGAATTCCCAACCGTTACGACGTCTTTTCACATAAGTTCTAAACTTCTGGCTCAAACTGTGCAAGGAAGAGAACAAAAACTGACCTGCTCACATGAGATTATACATCATTTGCAGAAATATCCCAGCACTTTCGCTTCCAGTACATGAAATTTAAAAAACTCCTTTACCTACTTTTAAACCAATAAATTCACATCTTTTCCACCAAAACGCAAGTTCTGACAAGTCTGAAGGAGAACACAGAAACGCAAGCTCACCAATATCTCCGAGGTGGACCAAGCAATGGCAGCAAATGTACAAGCACGAACTCTTCTTGGGAGTCACAATTTTCTTGTAGTTCATGATGTTTTCTGAAACAAAAGACCACGAACCATGACAAAAAATATTCACATATTTTAATTTTAATAACTAAAAAAAAAACACAACCCAACAACAACCCAAAAACAAAGATTTAACAAAAAACAGAAAAAATACAAACCAACCTTCTAAATCCTGAAACAACAAGTTTAAACAAAAGTATCACAATTTGAGTTCACAGCATTCATTTTCCTCCTGGAGCAAAAACTTCTAAAGCAAACAACTGAAACTAACAATCTTAACGTTTTCATTCCAGTATATCTACCTCCGACAACGATACTAGTAATAGATGAACCAGAAAAACAGAAGTTAGACAAATGAACATGAGAGGCATCGTGGTGGAATCAGGCTCTCGTCAATTTTTGGGCATGTAGAGTTATTGGTATCATCTTAAAGCCTGTTCACTTGTCTTTATTTGGATGGAAAAAATATACAGTTATCTTGAATACAAGTCGAGATATTTGCGAATGAAGGAGGTGGGGGTCATCTGTTTTCAGAGATAAAATTAGTGAGAAAATGGCCGATAAAGATTAGTTATTCCCTCAGCTTAAGAGTCTGTGGCAACTGAAAATTTAAATTTTTTGTGCCTTTAATCAACGTTTTTCATGATAATCCACACAGAAAATATGAGTTCCTTAATGGGCATGAAAGGTGTTGAGCCAAAAAAACAAAAATTTGATAAAAATTCACAAATCTGCGGAAAACTGCAAGTTTCTTCACTTTGATTATTTTGTCGAGAGCCTGATTCCACCACGCTGCCTCACATATTGTTCATTGTCTCAGGAAGCAACATCCCTGCATTCCGGACAAGTCCATTGATGCTCTCTCCAAAATGTCACTGAGGGTCTTTCCACTGATTGTGCCAGTGCACATCTGGAAGAACGTTCTTCAGTTCTTTCCAGCAAGGATGCCAGATTTTCCGCTTCCTTTTTGTATTCCAAAAACCATCAAATAAAAATGACTTTTTAATTTACCTCTCATGACACCAAAGGCAGCCGACCTTCTCCTAAAGGGCAGATCAAGTTTGAAAGTAGAACAAATTGTCTGCAGGAACTGGAAGAGAAAAAAACTTTGTCAGGGGTAAGGCTGCAACAATTATTTTTTACCATAATATCTCTGTGACAATAAAGAAGCATTCGAGATTTCATAATGGCTGTACTGTCTGATTTATAAGACATTGTAGAATCAACACACAATATAATATACACTGTACTTTACTATCGTTAAGTACTATAAGGCTGTCACCATGGTTTTAAGCACTCCGCATAATTTAGCAAAATTTGATCATTTTTTGCATAATTTCTGTTTATTTTCCTTTATCATTCTTTGTTAAAATTAACAGAATCGCATAATTTCACATTTTTGGGCTCAGTTTACATAATTTCAGAATTTTGTTAGCCTAAAACTGCCGGGACAGAAAAGGTCAAGATTATAGAGCCTGCCACTTCCCTTCCTGAGGCTTTTGTCCCGCCCACGGAGAAAGGGTGAGTTTTTATCCCTGTCCTACTTGCAATCAACTTACACTTACACCTGCTCACAGTCGGTGAGGCGTCCGTAGCCTAGTGGTAAGGCTACTGGACTGATAATCGTGAGATACCAGCAGGTTCAGGAGTTCGAGCCTCAACTCGGTCTGATGCAGTGTCCTTGGGAAAGGCACTTGACACGAAATTCAAACTTGGCTCAGTCCTTTCGGAGACGGACGTTAAATTCGGAGGCCCCGCCTCTTAAATAACCTAGAAGTGTTGATAGCGGCGTTAAACCTATACCATTTCACCACTTCACAGTAGATGAGGTGAAAACACAACTCAGCTCTTCACATACGCCAAGGAAACAAATGTGAGGCGTGCTGACAAAATGAGCTACGTCTCGCAATCCATGAATGGAAATATCAGCTGAAAATCGACACTAGGGTCAGATTTATTGCTTTTCAATTGATGCCATTTTCTTCAAGAAGTTTACTGTGTCTTTAATTATTCCATACACTTACAAATTGTGCAAACTCCACTTATAAAGTTGATGTATCAATTTCCATAAAGCTAAAATCCAAGAAGTAACTCAAATTGTCAGCACAGGTGACAAATATGTTTACCAGCAGGAAGACAATGGTCTAGAAAAGATGTCAACGTTTAATTCTGGAAAGTACTGGAGACATCTGAAGTATTCTTGGAATGGCATGTATCTATACTTACCTGCAGATAAAATCCACTTGCAGTTTCCAGAAATAAAAGGAGGCTGGCATGGGCTTCAATTTTCTTGGGATTCTGATAAGGAAAAAGAAAAAAAGACAAATTCAGAAAGGGGTGAACAAATAAAGATACCAACAAAGGAGAAAAACACTAAGAAACCAGTCTAACAATGTATGTGCCAAGGTCTTCTTGAGCCTATGAGGTAAATGTGGGCACACACACAAAAAATTCTTTTATCACATGACTACTTTCAATTATCTAAAAAAAATATTTTTAAAAAAATAAGCATTCACACTTGAGGCCTGTTCTGTGTAAATTTGGGCACACAAAAAAAACAACAAACAAATCATTTTATCACATGCTTCATTTCAATTCTGTTAAAATGCAAAGTATTTACTCTTTTTTTTTTAATTGACCCCAAAAGACACACCAGATTAATTAGGTAAAATTGATAAATAACATCACCGCTCCAAACCCATTTCCATTCAATGTTTAACTTCCCATTTCACTACCTATTCAATAATGCAGCCTCATCTCTCTTCTGCTAGGATGCTGTGTCCCACTCAGTCTGGGTGAGCCATGACAAGCACAGTTAAAGCAGTCACCCCCCCCCCTCCCCCCGCCCACCTTAAATATTCCAAAGTGTGTCGATGGTTTGTAATGTGGGTGGTTGGCAGATTCTCTGGTGTGGTTTGCTCCTTCTTTCCTCACAGACATTCTATCGTCATTATTCTTCCTCCTTTTCTTTGTATGTTACTCTCAAATAACACCTTTAATAATCTTTTACACTCGAATGACTTATTCATGTTGCAAGTGCCGTAAAACTCTTTTAAAAAGTACTATCAAACATCTATCCTGATTCTCTCTCCTCCTTTTCTTAGTGCATATTACTATCTAGTAAGTCCTAACAAATATCTATCCTCCTTGTCTCTCCTCCTTTTTTTTGTACGTTTATCTCTAGTAACACGTCTAATCTTCCCCACTTCAATGACCTCTTCGTGTTGCATATGCCGTAAAATTCTTACTTAAACTAAACAAAGGGGATGAAGAACACGGGTAATCATGAAAGGCAATAGTTAGGTGCAAAGGTAGCCACCCCATTAATTAAGTACACGATCTGACAGCGATGGAGGAAAAATGTTTCCCTCAAACTTATCTGATAACAATAATAATAGATATCATTTGTATAGCGCAAATCCCTGCTCAACAGCAAACTCTATGCACTTCACAATCTATACTATTACCCCAGCAGACCTGAGATCATTCTGAAACAACCTCAACTTCCTGGGAAGCATACAGTGCAAGCAGTCATTTATCGGCGCTAAAACACTAACATACTGACAGGATCCTTCGCTGTCTATGGCCGGTTACCCATTCCCACCTGGGTGAAATGAGGAAAAATTCGTGTAAAGTGCCTTTTCTAAGGACACAACGTCTGGCTCGCGGCTCAAACCCCCACACCCGCAACTTCACGATTACGAGTCCGGTAGCCCAACCACTAGCCAGTGCAGTTAACAATCCAACAGAACACTGAAAGGAATCTTATCGAAAACATAACAATTTGTTTTATTTCAGTAAGCGTTTTACGGCACTTGCAACACAATTAGGTCACATAAGTGCTGAAGGTTAGAGGTGTTACAAGAGACTAACAAACACAAAAAAAAGAAGACGGATAAGAACGATATATGTTTGATGGGGAAAAAAGAGCAAACCACACCAGAGAACCCGATAACCACCCACAAACATAAAAATGTTTCACTAGTCGACCAAAATTAGACAACGAGGTCAAAAGCCAATAAGAATACAGATAATGCAGAATCACCTGTCTGTCCTTAGACTGCGTTTGAAGGATGCTGATCTGGTTCTTAAAGGCATGATTCCACCTGAACATTGAGAAACAGAGGGGAAAAGGAATGAGTTTGATAAACATGATTACCTGGATACCTGAGAGGTCATCTCTGACTCAAAGATTGATGTGTAATAACCCTTCATCCTTCACAGTCGCGAGCTGCCGTTGCACATTCTGCTATACCCAGGCCAGTCCATGTTTTAATGTTGTCCATCCATATTACTCTTTGTCTTCCCCTGGCTCTCCTTCCCACATCATTCCTTTGAATACCTCTTTCACAATGGTCTCACGTCGTTTTAAGTGGCCAAAGTGTTGTACTTTCCTTCATTTTATTTTATTCAGCAGGATCTGTCTTGTGCGGAGAATCTAACTCACCTCATGACTGCTATGTAGATATGCCTCCCTGTGAGTACCTCTATTTATGGGGTTGTATCCTACATTTTTACCAAAGCTGGGCGATAAATTTGAAGGACAGTCAGTTCTGTCTCAGGCTTCAGTCTCCACCTCAGTCCAGCTGTATCCCATCTCCTCTAGGTCGGAATCCAAATCCCTCTTTTTATTTTTTCATCTTCCTCTATTCGACAAAAAAACCTCTCCCTTAAGCAGAACCCGTGAAAAATGTGGAAAAGCGGTGTCAAAAAGTTGATCGCCCGAGCTCAAAACAGGTCCTTACTCACATTTGCATTTAGAAAAGGTTCTTGCCAATATTTAAGAAAGAATTCCATAACACCATAAAAGACAATGACCTAAACAACTTAATAAATTATTTCAATTCACCGGAAGAGAATTATGTACCTCTACAATATCAGTTTGGATATATATAACATTTCCTTTTCTTTCTTTTTTTTCAGCCTTCAAAGTCCAAAAACAAAGCACAAAAAAATGTACAGACATGACACAATCTTCCCACTTTAATCAGGCATTTTTATACTCTCTGTTACCAATATACTAGGTAATGTACACTGCACTAATATTTTTTATGCACAATAATAATATACTTACAACTCTTGTTCCACTTTCTTATCAAGGGCATACTCTAAATCCACCAGCAGCAGTCTTTTGTACAGGTCTTCAAGCTTTTGTCTGGTCACCCACAGTTCTGAGAGGCTCTTGCCAGACTCTGTTAGATAAAAAGACTATCACCACTCACAATTTCTTAAAAGCAGGATAATTGATAATTGAATTAACGTCAAGCCATAATATAGTGTAGAGCGCATAGAGCCTGCTGTTGAGCAGGGATATATGCGCTATACAAATGCTATTTATTATTATTATATTATTATCTGTCTGCAAGGCTACCTCTGAAAGTATTTCTCTCCCTTTTCAACTCCCTCCCATCTTTTCTTTTTTTTTCTTGTATTTTTTTCTTTAAATGCCAGATCTGAAATAGACATCAGCCATCATGGTTGCCCACTCATGTTTCATCATGTGTACTTTCATGACAGAAATTACCAATCTCTATGTCCAAACATGAAAATAAATCTAATGAAACACTTTACATTAAAAACAATATTGAGTTGCTCTCTCTATTTCATTTACATATTTATTATAGATTCAGCTTATATGATAAGAAAGCATGACAATTATTTATGAAAAGAAACAGTAACCTCTAGGTTTAAAGGCATAAAAAAATGTACCTGTCATTGTATTCTTGACAGTATCTGCCTGCCTGAAAACAATAGAGAAACAAATCCAAATGATAACATCAATTTTCACAGACATTAATTACTCAACAGCACAAGTTAATTATCTTTTTAAAACGCAAAAATTAACTAAGCGTCTACAACTAACTTTCCAAAACGAAGGCAACATGGGCAAGGACTCAGATTAACTCCATCATGCCCCCAAACCTATTTCAGTATTCTGTCCATTTTATAATCCCCCCCCCTCTCTTAAAACCGTTGCATTCTATCGTGACCATGAAGTAAAAGTAAAGCATATAAAATATTATAATGTTATATATTCACTTAAAGCAATGACAAGTCTAATACTAATTGTCAAAAAAGGAATATAATCAACACATTTCAAATATCACCAAGCACGCTTTAACTGCCACCTCTAAGACAATTACTCACTTGCACAATCAACAACTTCCCCCTCGCATTTAGAAGAAAAAAAAATATAATGACAATGACCAAGACGTCCTGGAAGACACTCACTTTTCTCCACAACAATGGCTGGCTGTCTCGCAATTTTGATACAATGTCTAAGACAACCACCCATTGTTCATGAAAGTCTCCATCTTACAGGGCCATTATAATGTAAAAACTAGGTATACAAGGGAAGGCACAGGAAGTGGTCGTAGGTGACTGTCAAATTAATACAACTGTGGTAGATTCAACTACATGAGAAGACGAAACGATCTATTTTTATGCTCTGAGACTAAGAAAATAAGCACACAAACCTCATGATCTGGGCTGCAGCAGAGACACTCATGGTGCTTCCTTCACTTCTCTGCTGTGTTTAGTGAATGTGTAGACACTTCAGGTCAGCTCACACAGTTGGAGCCTTGAAAGAAGAAAAAATACAATTATTTTAATTAGAATTATTTAATAAATGGCATCAAGAAAAAAATAAAACACAGAGTAGGAAATCTTGACTGTCAATAATTGATTAATTGTTGTAGGAAAACTACAGGGACTGTTGTAACAAATGTATACAATATTATACGTACAGCACAAGCATCACAATCTCTAGACTTTACTTTTTACTTTTACTTTTTCATCCTCTGTTGCAGTTATTAAGCGTCGAGGGGAGATGCAGTTTTCTATGGTAGGCCAGCTCCGAAGCTCTTTCAGTTGTGATATTATGTTTTCTCAGGGTTTCCTTGACACCCTCGATCCACCTTTTTTATAGCCTGAGTGCTTCGTGTTGTAGGCTCTCGAGGCTGGCTGGCCAGGTGACCTACGTAACAGGTGGCCAAACCATAATATTATTCTGTCTTTCTATGTAATGCAGGCAGGACTCAAAGCCGAGAGCTGCTCTTCTTACTTCTTCATTTCTCTGCCTGTCTCTATGGGAAAAGGAAACCTGTGACTGTGTAGTTCAGGCTGAATTAACGAACGTGGGGGTGAAAAAAAATACCCATCTGTCTTGAATTAAAATCCATGATGAATTGATGATTGAAGGAGGTGGGGATCTCTTTGTGTCAGAGGTAAAATTAACGAGAAAATGGCAGCAATAAACATTGAGTTTCCAGTCCTTGGAATATTGGAAGCTTCATTATCACATTGCGCCTAGATTTTGATCAACGTTTTCAAGAAAAATCAAGACAGATGTGTTTTTAAAATAGACATTAACCCTTAGATCTGTACGCCCTGGGGTCATTTTGCACCCCCAGGGTTGTATTCTTCACATTTTAGAATACTTCACGAAGATCTCTTTGAAACTTTAACTTTCAGTATTTCTCAAAAAATCATTTTGACAGACTATTCAAAATGTACGGATCGGATTAACGAGTAAATTTCCTCTTTGGAAAGTGGTGGCACAGAGTTTCCCCATGTCGTATGGATACGACAGTAAAACACGACGTACAGATAGGGTAAAAAATGTGTTCAAACAAAAAGCTTCGATAAAAATTATCAAATAGATTGGGTAAAAATTTCGGTTTTATGCAATTACATAAATTTGACGAGTGCTTGATATGATGATGTCTCACAAAGTCTTTAAAATAGCCTTTTATTTCAATCAAATACAAATAATTTGAAACATATATCAAGCCATCTAGTCGTTTGTTTGTTCTCAATGAATGTAAAAGAATAAAAATGAACACAACAAGGAAAAGTTTGAACAAGACTGGAGATCACAGTCATGGACAAAAGTCTCTACACACTATTATAATTTTTAACTCTAGACTTGTCGTTTAGACACCTCTGATGATGATCTGACCGACTTGACTTGGGGAGGATAAAATCCGTAATTAAAAAAGCGACTACCCCAACAAACATAATAAAGTATAAAGAAGAGATCTACCCTAACCCCCTGCCGGTAAGATTGAAGAATACTGGACCAGCGGATTTGGACTACTTTTGCAGGGTCTCGACAACCTTAGACTTAGGAATTCATGATTTTCCCCAGTTTTCTTATCTCTCTCAATGAAGAATCTCAGACCGGTAGCCTAGATCAGTTCCTTAAAACAGTTTGTCAGGGGGGACCCCCCTGAACCCCCCCTCCCCTAATCCCTTCCTCCACCCCCATTCTCGCGCAATAATATGAGTGGTCCAGTACTCTTCAATCTTTCCCCCCAGCCTCAGGAAGAGACTATCCTCACGAGGGGTGAGAACAGCCTGTGTGTCTTGCTCTTGGAGTAACTATTATTAGGAGAGGCCGCGAGTCGCGTAACGTGAAGCCGCTTCAGACGACTGTCGGCCATGTTTGTGAGATCAGCTCAGTTCTCTCAGTTGTAAACTTACTGTCAACCGAATGGCAGTTTGCGTAGCGTTCGGGTCCGGTGGGCCTCTCATTCAAAGGTCCCGGGTTCGATCCGAGTAGTGACGGAAAAATGTTATTCTCTAAAATTCTACTTTCTCTTTCGTCTGCTATCGTCTCCACTTTCTGCCCCTACCTCCTCAGGGCTTCGCACTCTTTCTGCAGCCTTTCTACTGCTACTCCTTGGCTCCTTCTTACTTCTGTCTTTCAGCCACACCCCTGATCTTCTGGTAGGAAAGATCTACCCCTAGCCTTCTCGGACAAGGGTGAAAAAATCTCGGAGGCTCGACAGAGGTTGCGTATGCAAGTTGCGCAAATTAAAGGTCCTTTAGTGGTCTAAATCGATAAGAGTAGGCTTCGGTCGCCACCCGCGCAAAATTCAAAATTTCCTACCAACTTAAAATGTTTAATGTGTACCTCGCACTCATATGACTTATGCAGTCGCGAGTGCCGTAAAACACTTATAAGGCCTACGAAAAATGTTTTTTAAAATATCAGTCTCCAGCAATGGCACTGAACTTGATGGCGAAGTGCCTTCTGATTTAGCCGTAAATGCATCTCACATGCACAGTAAAAACAGAACGAAAAAAGATTGCACGTTTGTGTCTAGATCTAGTCTGGCATACTTGTCAATTGACTATGAGAAAACTGTTGCTTAAATGGCTGGTTTTGTGTTGTTACGGTTGACAAAGCATTTGAAAATGTGAAACCTTAGTTGACTCCAGTGTGTCAAATGTAACTTCCTTGCTGTTTTTGAAGTCTCGTCGGAGGTTTGACAGTGCCTTCAAAGAATGTCATTGAAGTGTGTTTGGTGTGTGAATAACATTTTCGATGTCACGTGTAGTCTGTCTGTTCAGGGGGTGTGACATTGTCAAAAGAGAAATGTCACAAATTAGTGCAATCTGTCTTGAAATTCTTCTTATTATAAGCCTATCATTTCAAATTTTCTATTAATTTTTCAATACACTTAACAGTATTTTGTAAAATTTAGATAAAGTGTCTGGGTGTTTTAAAGGTGCCCTTCCCTCCTCGTTTTATTGGGGGGGGCTGTTTTATTCTTTTTTTTTAATTCTTTTTTTTCGGGGGGGGGGGGGGTTAATTTCCACCATCATACTTCACTCTTATCTGCCTTGCCCTCTCCTTCCTCTTTCTTCGCCCATCCCATCCCACCCTCACTACCATATTTTGTGTAATCATTTTCAATTTTGTTTTATATATATATATATATATTGTTGTATGTTTAAGTCAAGAAGTCTACGTTTTAGTAAAAATAATGTCAGTAATGACATTATTTTGCACTGATGAAGTTCTATGAACGAAAAGTCTGCAAATTTTGTTATCCCGTTTATATTTTTGTTTTGATCCTTATTATCTAAATTTCTCCTCTAAAACAAGTTTTAAAAATTATCTTACCGTCACAATGTGTATACATAGTACATGTATTACTAAATGTTCGACTGAGTGAGCTGGTAATTTGATGCAAGTAAGATTTATTAACTTCCTTATTATATTACAACTGTGCGTGGGTGCTTATAATGCTGTAATTAACATACAAAGAAATTTCGAGAGAAAATGGAGTCCGAGCAGCTAGTTTTGAAAGGAGATTACGCAGCGTACGCTGCATTGTTTTGAACTTACAAAGATGGCGGCAGGCCCGATAAGCTCCGCCCTTTCGGCTTCAACTTGGTTGGAACTGTTGAGCGGGCGACGCAACGTTAGGGCCTCTCCGTATATAGTTACTCCAAGGTCTTGCTATTCTCACACAGCTCTATAGGCCTATATATAATAGCGCAGGTCAGACACACACACAACAGCACAGAGAATAAGTTTTGTGCAGTCCTGGATAAGTTTCAAAGGTTTACTTTAAAATTTAATGGGCTGGGTGAAGGACATACACCATGAACAGTAAACAACATTGAAAAAATCCCATTAAACAGAGCTACACTTAAAGCGCAAAAATGAAATGTCAAGATTGTTTTCCCTGATGATACCTCTCCAGTACTCACTGTAATTTTTAAATGGCTATTCGATTTTTAAAAATAATAATAAAATTTTCTAAAAGCTACGGCAACAGTAATCAGTAGTGGTTGACCTAAGCCTACATTGAGGAAGGCCAGCTCTACTCGAGTCCGAATAAAAAATTTCTCTATTCGGACTCGAGTCCGAATAAGGGGGTATTTATTCGGACTCATGGCCGAGAAAAAGGTTTTATTTTTATTCAGACTCAGCTTCTAGGTGAGTTTTGAGTGCAAGGAGGTTACATTATAATAAAATAAATGTCGTCGGGGGATTTTGCGTAAAATCAGAATTAGAACTAGAATTTTCTACTAGGATTGTGTCAGTCAAAAGACTGTGCGGACTCTCATCATTAGATCTACCCAATGGCAGGGTCTACCAAGTTAGTGTCTAAGTACGCTAACCAACAACTCAGGGTCTTTCCACCACCACAGCAACATCATTACTTCCACCATCATTTGTCTTTCCACATGTTTCATTTTATTTTGTTGTGTGGTCTATAGTTTTTCTGCAGATCTAGAATCTAGATCTAATTATTCTTTTTTATCACATTATATTCATTGCACAAAACCGACAGCCGTGGCCTCTCCCCAACACCTCTTCCCCCAGCAAGCCGAAAGTGGGAGATCGCTAGGCGCAGTCTCACTGGTCGACATAATATAATTAACTTTGCCCCCGGCAAGGTCAGCTCAACTTAGTCGTTCTGTTCATACTAGGGAGGGTCCGTTGATAGATCTAGATTCTAGATCTAGTATTATTTAAGTAAAAGCTCTGAGTCCTGTTATCATTATTAATCGAAAAGAAGTTCGTAAATGCTGGAAATATTTAGGAACAAGGGTCGAAAGTCGGAACGGACGTCATGTGGGACTCAATTCGGAGTCCGAATATAATTTTTCTCTATTCGGACTCGAGTCCGAATAGTCACTTCGATTGAGGAAACAAGCGCTCTACTTTCTAAGCACTCATGATGAGTGATGAGTCAATTCCCAATCAACATGCGGTAAGCCACCCAGGGCCTAGGTGATTTTGTCGGCCTGCGAGAAGTCAGGGGGGAGTCCTCGTATGCCTACATCAGGGTGGGGATGAGAATATCGGGTCATGAGCTATTCTCACCAGGGGTGAGGTGGCCCCAACCAGCCCTTTTAGCCTTAACACTAACACCCTCTATTTCATAGCAATCACTCGCTAAACGGTAGAAAGGACTGTAGCAAAGTGAATTTAAATAAATAGGCCTAGAATCTATGCAACAGCCTCTATAGATCTATGGCAGAGTCCAAGCTAAGAAACAATTCTGTAAATAGTGACTGATATCTCGAAGCTGTACTGTAGACTGAACAGTGAACTGTAGAGCCAAGACTGTAACTGTAGACTGTAGAGGTGGGGGGCAAACACTTGCACATCCATCCGACATCCTAGGAACACAGTTCTGAATCTGGAAACAAGAAAGTAGATATACCTGTGGGTTGTTCTGTGTGTGATTATCCTTACGAAATTCTGAAAATGGGTGAGTAATCCATGTCTCAAACCCCCCAACACACACGGTCATCCCATCTTTTTTACTGAGAATTGTGATGACGCACTGATATCGCTCTCCCTACACAAAAGAGTAGCAGAAGCTTTTATGGTAGCACAGCATTATCGACCTTAGTCGACTATTAGTTGATTGGTTTTTCTTTGTTGAAGACCAACTTTTCTAGGGTTTTATTTTGTTTTGTGTGCATTTTGTTTTGTTTTGTTTGTGAGTTTTAACGTGCTATGTGGCTTTTAAAAAACCAAATAACATTTTTGTTGTTCTTTCTTTGGTATGGTATGCTAATGTACTAACACCCCCCCAAGCAAAATGATTCCCAAACAAAATGTGTGTTGAGAAGGCCGATATTGAGATACAAGTCACACGTACAGGTTAAAATGTCATGGAATTTCTTAACAAAGCAGTTCAATAGTAGTTGCGGTAGCTAGCCTATTTTCAGGCTGTTTATATCATGGAGTTGACACAAGATTCTTCTATCCAATTTGAACATAATATCTTAATGAATCATACTGGTTTTTTGTTGTGTGTTTTTTTCAATAATTAATGTACTCACTGGTAGCCTTTTTACGTCACCATCTATAGAGCTATAACTAAGCGATCGTTTATGAGACGGACTTCGACCATGCCTGTCAGGTCCAACCAAGGCTGAGAAGGAGACAACCTATCCCAGCAAACAGATCGAGATACTCGATTTAAAAAATTCCCCACACAGGAATTGAACTCGGGTCTCTTACATGACAATGTAATGGCGAACTTAAAATCACTGCAGTCGCACGCGATACACTTAAGATCAAATTATGGGAATTTTCGGTTTTAACCCCCACCCCCACCCCCACCCCCCGCCCAACCCTATCAATGATGCACTAAGCAACTTTCATGAACTTCAACAATTACTGGTACAGTTTACTTGTATGGTCAAGGCGTGCAATTTGTTTTCTTTTCATGATTCCAGCTCTTAACAAACGCAACAAAACTAGTTTGAAACGAGGGGGGGGGGGGTGTTTTGGTTTTTGTTGGCTTTTTTTGTGGAGGTTGTGGTTCTTTTGTTGTTGCTGTTGTTTTGTTTTGTTTTGTATTGTTTTTTTATCTGCTGTAAAAAAAAGTACCCAAAAGGACTAAATAAGTGGATTGCTTAGGACACCGACGAAATGCTGCTGCTTTATCTTGTCACCTTGAGATCATGTTTTGCGGACAAGTTGCTTCTAAACTCTGGACCCAATCCCCGCTGGTTTATCGCCACCACAGACTTCTATATTATATAATTGCACACTCATTATTTTGTGAGCGTCATCACAATTCCTCTCCTACCAAAAACCAACCACCATATTTTTCCCATATTTACTGCTTGTATCATGCCTTCTGTCCTACTCCCTTTTGAAATCATCAGTGTCAGTACCGTACGCTGACAGACCAGCCTACCAACAAAAAAAAGAGAAAGAAAAAAAACAAGACCAAGTAAAAACCAGACAAACAGTGAAATATGAATTAAAGAAAGAAAGAAAGAAAGAAGGGGAACCGCTTCAGAAAGCAAATTTACCTTTCTTTATTGTGCCTTATAATAACGTTCTTCTGTAAAAATCCATACAGAATGTTTTTTAATGGACATGATATTGAGCAGAACAAAACAAAAAAAATAATGAATCGAAAAAATAATAGAAAAACATTGCCCGGCCGTCAGAAAAGTGCCGGTTTCTTTGGTTTCATTACTTTGACGAATGTTTGATTTCACATCGATGCCTCAAAAATCCTCAGATAAGACACGCAGAATGATTGAGGGAGTCAAGGGAACCTGTCAATCCCCGGCATCTAAACAGAAAGAGGTTCACAGTTGGCCTACCATAGATAAACTGCTTCTTCTCACCATGCAAAACGACAGTATAGGATGAAACGGGGGCTCTCGTGGCCTAGAGGTTAAGTCTGAAGCCTTTCTACTTCTACTCGCCTTGGCTCTTTCTTACTGCTGTCTACACCTAGCCTTCTCGGACAAGGGCGAAAAATCCGTGTGCAAGTTGCGCACGTTAAAGATTCCTTGGTGGTCTAAAATCGATAAGAGTAGGCTTTGGCCGACACCAGGGCAAAATTCAAAATTTCCAACCAACTGAAAATGTTTAATGTGTCCCGCGCGCTCATATGACCTTATGCAGTTCCGAGCGCCGTGAAACACTTACAAGAAAAAAAATAAAAATAAAAGTAGGATTAAACAGTTATATTAAATAGGGTGGCTGGCGGGTGCACTGGTGTCGTTTGCACCTTCTTTCCTAACCATCAAACATCTGTCGTCCTCATCTCTCCTCCTTCTTTTTTGTGCTTGTTACATGTACTCTCTTGCTTTACTTTACTTTTATCCGCCGCTTATAGAATTTGTGAGGCAGCGTGGTGGAATCAGGCTCTCGTCAAAATAATCCAAATGAAGAAACTTGCATTTTTCCTCAGGTTTGTGAGTTTTTATTAAACTTTTGTTTTTTGACTCCACACCTTCTATGCCCATTAAAGATCTCATTTCTGCATGAATTTTTCTGAAAAACGTTGATTAAAGGCACAGAAAATGTAAATTTTCAGTTACCACGGACTCTTAAGCTAAGGGAATAACTAACCTTTGGTGGCCAATTTCTCACTAATTTTACCTCTGAAAACAGGTGACCCCCACCTCCTTCTTTCGTAAATAACTCGATTCAAGATAAATGGATACTTTTTCATCCAAATAAAGACAAGTGAACAAGCTTTACGATGATACCAATAACTTTAAATGACCAAAAATTGACGAGAGCCTGATTCCACCACGCTGCCTCACATTTTTTTGGGTGTGGCAGGATACTCTCTAGCAATGTTTCTAATCTTCTGACCCTATATGCCCTAATTGTGTTGCAAGTGCTGACAACACTACTTACTTACTTAAACGAAAAAGTAAAAGTAAAGTAGAACATGTTGGTGACCAGAGATAAAATATCAGAATGACATTTCAATTTCAAGGGGTGTAGGCCAGAAGACTTATTAATCTTATCTTGAATGACTTTTTACTGATGCTAGGTTTGGAATCCAAGTGACCCGTCTGTGGAGCAGCATGCCCTTAGTTGTCTGACATTTTGGCTGGTCATCCGTTCCACATCATGACAAAGATTTTATACAGGGTACGCACTGTCACGAGCGGATCGGATCGGATCGGATCGGATCGGATCGGATCGGATCTGGTCGGATTAATCAACAGCAACTCCAGTGCACACTACGGATGGACAGAGAAGCACCAGAGTGGTGAACTTTGAAAAAAAAAGAGAAAGAAAAAGAAAAAAATCAAGGCCGTGAATTATTCGAGCTGCGACGATTATTATTGATCAAATTTGATTGCCAATACCAACCAACAATTACATTATCATTGGCAATAGTTATTCCGTGCTTTTTCTATCATATGCTTAAAAGATAAAATCTATATTAAATTATTTTTTGTAATACTCACTTGTTTTTCCAATTATTCGTGACACGTTTACGTCTTGTATTGGCATTGCTAAGGGTTTTTGTTTTTCTTATTGAGCCCAAGAAGTGCAGCAAGTGTGCCTCAACTGACCATTACTAAGACAAGTGGTGAGTTATAACACGATCACAGAAAGAATGTGGATAACGATATATAAATACAAATATATATATATATATATATATATATATTTATATATAATATATGAATATTTATACATATAATTTCTCTGTTATTCAAAAATATATTTTAAAAAGCTGACACAATAATAGAATGTTGTTCTACTCAAATTGCTAGCGAGGATATTTTCGTAGAGAACTTCCACATTCAGGGTCGACAGAAAGAGTCCTAAGCCCAGTAAAACAGAGAGAGGAATTAAACCTCTGGAGGATATTAGCGATCGGATAGCAAGTGGCGCGAGTCTGAGAGTGTGTGCTTCCTTCAGTATTGGCTTCAAGTCGCTACCCCAGAATTACAAAGTTCTATCTGCTCAGTACCTGTTTTTTGAGAAGTTTTACCCCCCAAAAATTGTAAATTTCACAACTTATAAAGATCTTAAAGAAATGTAATCCTTTGAATTATCTTGGATGGATCCTGAAGAGAGGGGGGGGGGGGGGGGGGACAGAGATGGACATTTTCCGACTGCAGTGAAACCAACACAGTGGACAAGAGAGACAAGTGAGACAAGTGAGACAAGTGAGACAAGTAAGACAAGTGAGACAAGTGAGACAAGTAAGACAAGTAAGACAAGTGAGACAAGTGAGACAAGTGAGACAAGTGAGACAAGTAAGACAAGTAAGACAAGTGAGACAAGTGAGACAAGTGAGACAAGTGAGACAAGTGAGACAAGTAAGACAAGTGAGACAAGTGAGACAAGTGAGACAAGTGAGACAAGTAAGACAAGTGAGACAAGTGAGACAAGTGAGACAAGTGAGACAAGTAAGACAAGTAAGACAAGTGAGACAAGTGAGACAAGTAAGTAAGTATGTAATCGTTTGAATATCTTGATAACGACTCCAAAAAATCTAACGATTTTGATAGAGCAGATAGTACATTAAAGTACTGATGTTTGACCTCATAGGCTTAGTAACTCAAAGCGGCCAAAACTGTCAGATAGAACTTTGTAATTCTAAGATAGGGACGTGCCGACTGCAGCATCTTGTACTTGCTGTGTTGAGAAGTTCTAAAAACCCGTGGACATGGGAGATATCGATGGTTGTCTGTCTATCTCTCCACTGCTACATTGTCCATTACTGTCGTGTTCCCAGAGCAACAAAAAAAAAAAGAAAAAGAAAAAAAAAAGAAAAAGAAAAAAAAAGTCACTAAGTGATGGAATCAGGCACGCAATTTTTCAGTTTGTGGCATGTGGAGTTATTGATATCACCTTGCAGCTTGTTCATTTGTCTTCCTTTCAATGAAAATAAAACCCAATACCCACCTATCTGGAATAGAAGTCGAGACTCTTTGGATACAGGCCCCGTGATTGGCTGTTCACATCCGACGACTATACGACCGGTTCGACTAGCAGCCATGATAACAAAACACGTTTAAATTTGAAGGCTACGGTCAAATTAAGTCGAATCAAGTCAAATTAAATCGAACTCGGTCTAATTGTGGCGAAATGGAAATGGAAGTTTTATTACCCTTTTAAGATAGAAAAATCTGATTGGCCTTACTAAATAAATGCTTTCGATTGGCATTAGCACTGTATTAAGAAAAAACTACAACTGCAAGGCTGGCTGTGTACAATTTTCAGCGACATCAGATTTCATTGGGCAGTCTACGTTGACAGATGAAAAGGTGAACAACATTTCTTTGGACTGTTGATTTCGATCATAAATTAGGTGAGTTTTGAACAACACCTTATCCGTGCTTTAGATTTATGCACATAATATCATAGTTAGATTTATTGGTGAAGTTGTGAAGATAGATGTTTCGAGTTCATTGACCTGTGGGGAGTAAAGTCGGTTTTGTAAAGTCGGTTTTTCTTTGTTTTTGACGTCCAGAAAAAATATTTGTAGTGACATACATCAGCTTTGTATTGTTGCTATCACTGTTTTGCGCTGGGGTAAGCTCGTAAAGTAATAGCTTCCATTTTGAACGTGTGTGTGTGTGTGTGTGTGTGTGTGTGTGTGTGTGTGTGTGTGTGTGTG